ACACATTTTTTAGATTATTTAAGAGCATTATCGAATACTGGATAACCAAACATTGCCATACAATATAACACTTACTACTGTACAGATTCTCTTATTCAAGATTTTAGAATTCTATATATCTATATGTATTTATACACATATATATCCATCTACATAGAGTTTTTAAAGAAGTGGGAAGAGTGCTCAAAACTACCAGATTTTTTTCGGTCATTATAAATTACTCATTTATTGATGCATTGTATGACCTAACATTATGGGTGAAGCACTATATTCTGAGAATATATGTATTAGCTATCAACTGCTGCTTAACAAGTTACCCGAGAACTTACCTGCTTAAAATAAAAACATTTACTGTCTCACAGTTGAGGGGCAGGAATTCAAAAGCAGTTTATCTGGGCAGTGCTGGCTCAGGGTTCTCCTAAGTCAAGGTGTCAGCGAAGGTTGAAGGATCCACTTTGTTCCTTCTGTTTTCCTTTGTTTTTATATTCCACAACAAGTGAAATCACGTATTTGTCTTTCTCTGCCTGGCTTATTTCACTGAGCAGAATACCCTCTAGATCCATCCACGCTGTTGCAAATGGGAGGATTTTTCTTTTTATGGCTTAATAATATTCCATTGTGTATATGTACCACATCTTCTTTATCTATTCATCTACTGATGGTACACTTAGGTTGCTTCCATTATCTTGGCTATTGTAAATAGTGCTGCGATAAACATAGGGGTGCACGTATCTTTTCAAATCAGGGATTTTGTTTGTTTCAGACTTACAAGTTTACTGTGATCTGAAGTTTAAGTTTTTGTGTGCACGTGTACACCAAGCCCCAAACATTGTTGTGTTTGTGTGAGCCACCACAGTTCATAAAAGGGATGGCAATGCCTCAGTCCCACATCACGAGTGCGGCTTCTCCACACAGAAGAGGCTTGTTCACGCCCACGTGGTAGAGTGCACAAGGGGCTGAAACCTGTGTGATCTTGTGACAAGGCAGCCTATGCAGTTATGGGGGAAAAAATCCCTATAGCCAAAACCACAAAGCCAATTTCTGCTCAACAAGACTGCTATTATTCATCCTCTGAAAGACCAAAGAGTAAGAAAATGTACTAAGCCACACCTTGAGAAGTCATGACAGAATGGCATGCCACAGCTTGACGGAAGCATTACAAAAGAGATCCTGAATCATGCATGAAATTTTAAATTACCCCACCTCAGGGCTGAGTACTTTTCATATTCCTCCAGCAGTGACCTCTTAAAATCTATTTTCTCTGATAAAACCTAACACAAACCTCATAAACCTATATACTTAAAATAAACATGCATTCATTCTTAAGCTTCCCTCTTGCTGTGTGTATGTTTAAATGTATCTGTCCCTTACTACCCTTTCCCCTTCTGATTTTAAGTCCTGGAAGACTGAGACCATGATTCTCCCAAGAAGCTAACCACAGGCCTCACGAGGTTGCCAATAACAAGCCCTATTTACTGTTGATACTAATTAGCTCTGAAGAGAAATTCATGAAAGGCCACGTTTTTAAATAAAGGAACTTTTCTGAAAGAGTCACAATACATGCATATTCAACATTAATATGTACAGAGCTCCCAAAGCACCATCAAAACCAACCTGTCTATAACCAGAGGCGGGGTGGGGGAAAAGACGTTACCAGAAGTCTCTGGTAGTTATTAAAAACCATACCCATCTCTTAAAATTCACATTTAGAGTAATCCCAGACTGTTATCAACACATACTGGAGCTCAATACACACCTAGAGCATCATTTCCTACAAGCTTGATTTCAAGCATCACGTTATATTCTATGTGGGAATTTGGTTTTTCTTTGCTTTTAAACAAAAGCAGCACACCTCATTATAAAACTACTTCAAAGCTGCCAAGACATTGAAGTTGTAGAAATGCCTTTCCAGGGCAGAATCCTATATTAGGATTAATGGGTTCACCATGTACTTGAGGTCCCCACTATTTCTCTCCTTCAGGCTGCAATCCTAGAGAGGGGACAGACACCACAGGACCAGCAATCTTCTGGGGGAATTAGGGAACCAACCTCAGAGGAAACTAGCTGCAGGCACTCCTGGGGGACACAGGTGCTGGCATCCAGCAGACAGCTCACATGATCAAGCCATCTGATCCCACATGAACAGTCAGAACAATAAACACTTTGTACTGTATAAACAATGAAATATCACCTGTAAAAATGTAAAACTTTTGACCCTTATTCAAATATTCATTATTATACCCAAATTATAAGATGGGTAGAAACCAAGAGGTCAGATCCATAAAGCAGATAGAAATGTAGGTATTCTGACAATGTGAAGCATAGTTCTACTTTCTAGCATCTACTTATGGAGTAACTAGTCAAGGGACAGGGTCTTAGGAAGGAAAGACAGGGGAGTGTCAACTGACACTCCAGGGCTCAAGCCTAGGCTCTGCCACCACCGTGGATCCTTCTAAGAACTCCCCGTGCACAGGACCATCTGCAGGGGTCACAAGACTGACTGTTCTTCTTTGCTAGGCTCAGTCTTGACAGAAAAGCAGCCATAAGTAAAAAGGCATCTACTTTCCAAACTTTGGGGCTAAGGAAGGAAAAAATGAAATGATGGTGTTTCCTTTGCTGAATGTTGGATACCAAATCAGCTGCATTAGAAATCACTCTATAACTGAGGACCACAGGAGATGAGAGGCACTTCTGAGATCATCTCAGATCATCACCAAGGCAGAAAATCACTTTTATATACTGCCCCTCGTGTTACAGATAGAGAAATGCAAGAGCACAAGGACAGAGTGACGTATCTATGTCCCACTACAAGTTAATGACTAAAGCCAGGACTGAACCCCCAGCTCCTAGTTCCCAGATCTGTGTTCTTTCCTCTACACCACCCTGACCCTCAGGACTAAATACACACACTTTAATACATGAAAACCCCATCAATTTTAAAAGTCAATAACCCTAAAAACTGGCTTTATTTCCAGTGGATGTCACTGGGCTTAGTTTACACCAATGTCACCTCCTCCAAAAAGAATATTTAAGGAGCAAAGCTACACAGACAATAATATAATTCAGCCTGGGAAAAAGACCCTCAAGGCTTCTCCAACAATCAACACTTCATCCATAATTTTTTAAGGCAACTTACCGAACCTTAATTCCTATACGGCTGCTTAAACAACAGAACACTAAAATCTATTTATTAAATGTAGGTCACTTGGGGCAAGTGAAAGCCAAATTATAAGATCCAGTTATCTTAGGACTGCAAACAGGTTCCCTTTAAACTGTATAAATGAAACTTAGAGTTTCCTATTGTTTGTTAAAGGAAAGATGGACTACCCTGAAGAGAACTATCTGCACACAGAGGGAGATGAGCCATTCAAAACTTATTTTGGGCTTCTTAACTGGCTTGTTCCATTTCTTTGAAGCAAAAAATTTATTACATTAATCCCTCCGCCTGTAAAAGGGGGAATAAAAACTCTTGACTCCAAAAAGACCAGGGTGCTCCACTGCCTGATCCCTGGCTGACAAGCTTAGGTGTCTTCTCAGCTGGACGTTGTAAAAACCCACCCTAAGAAGCGGATTTTCCAAACGCTCCATGCTCTTGGTGAACAAGCAAACTAGAAAGTGATGAAGACCAATGCAAGTGGCATTAAATCCAAACTCCCACTCAAAGACCAGGTAAGTAGTTGTGACAGTGTGATGTATTATTTGCAGTTTTATCCACAGAAGTAAAAGTATCTAAGCAGAAAATTAAATTTCAACGTGGTAAATTTCTCCTTTAAAATATGATCGATAACTTTGCCAATTTGAAAACACATATCAAACTTGTTCCCCAACGGTATCCATCTCCTATTTCTCCCGATAGCTGTGTAATATCACATCAATCTGGCCACTAAGGTAAAAATCACATGTTAAAATAAAGCAAGTCAGTCATGAGCATCTGAGAGAAAGAACTGGAGGTATTCCCAGTGAGTTTTCCTAAGAAAAAAACACCAAACTGTAATGGCAAACAATACTTTGACAGGAATTCACTTTACTGTAACCACTTTCAGAATCACGTGATGCGTTATGATGAGATGTACCCCTAACATGCACAAAGCAGACTCGGAGACGCACTGATCTCTGCAGTGGAAGCAGCTGTAACGTGACATTCTCACCGGCACTGAGCCCCTATCATGAGAGCTCAGGACTCGCCAAATGCATTTTCCTCCTAACCGCTAACTAGAAAATGACTCTTTCCAGGCTTGCTCTCTTTACAGCATCACCTCCCCACATCATTTGCAATTCTGGGATTTCCTGTTAAAGCAAGTACAGATTTTCATCTACAATATTCAAGAATAGTCAAAAAAAAGTCACAGATCTCCTATCTTCTTCACCACATTGGAGAGGGCTCTCTGGAATGACAAAGTCAGGAGAGTGGAGGAATGGCAAGTCCACTAAAAGCTGATGGTCACAAGGAACCACTTTCAGTGAAGATCCTTTATTTCTACCACTTGCTACCACTTCCTACTGTCCAGACTTGAAATGTGCATTGTTTGGGGACACTTTCTTGAGTTCTCATCCCATTTACATTTTTAAAAAAAAGAACAAAACAAGAAGACTCAGGCCCTATGACTTTACAAAAAAAGAGATAATCTTACAAATTTCTGACCTTTTAAAAAAGGTAACTTTTTTAAATTGCACTTTTTGGAAAAACTTTTGTGAAAAGTAGAGGATTACACACCAAATCATAACATTCCTGTGCATGCCCACACTCACAGCATCATTATAATAACCTTTTCTAATCCATAAAGGGCACGCCCAGAACAGAGTTCACTATTCTGCTAGAGAAAAGCTGATGTGGTTAGTAAAGCATGTGGAACTTAACCTCAATTACACTAGAATCTAATAGTCTCGGTGTATTATCGATCTTATTCTTAGTGAACTATCAATCTCCAAAATCAATCTACTATGGAATAAACAGAGATTACAAGAGGCTATCTAGTAGAATGGAAAGTCAGATTACTTACCTTGTGCAAAGGAAGAACGAGGAATGCTCCTCCCCCACTCGCTTCTATGATTATGGCAACAAACCTGGGATTGACGGCGCAGAAGGAACTATCCCAGGTCACTCGAGAAACCCGGATGTCATCGTAACACTGGTCATTTTTCACTGCTTGTCCAAATACATGCCGAAACTTGCTTTGTCGTACCACTCGCCTCATTGTGTCTGTAGAAGAGCACAAATTATGTTAAAATCATGTACCTAACTGAAAACTTAAGTTTTACAAATGAAAAACTCCCAAGTAAAAAAAAAAAAAAATGGTACGGCATTTTGTCTGCACTCCTCAGAGGTAGTAGCCAAGTGGCAAATCCAAATTTCCTTCTAAAGCAGCACATACCCAGAGAAGACTGCAAAATGTGTTGGGGAAAGAATTACAAAGAAATGAAAAATTCCTTATTCAAGATCCAGAAACACCTAATCAGTTTTAATTTCAGGAGAAAGATCAAGGCAAAAAAATAAAGAAAATAAGCCTTCCAAGGGTTGGGTGGGAACTGAAAGATAATTCACTCCAACCCTCCCCTTTTATAGAAAACTCCGAAGTGAAGTTATCTGGTAGACTTGAAGCTTAAAAAAAAAAACCCAAACCCAGAAGTTACAGTAGCATACTGGACATACAGAGAGAAGAAGTAGAAGCAGCTAGCAGCAAGGTGCTGGGCTAAGAAGCTATGACCCTTAACCAGCCTAAGAAAAGCCTGGATGATTATGGCACGAGTAGGGGCCAGAGGAAAGGGAAATCTCTGGGTTGGGGGGAAACAAACTGAGGATGAGTTTTCATGTGAGAGTTTATTGTTCACCAGAGCCCTGCCCAAGTAAACCAGGGGCCCCGGGGGAGAGGAAGGGACCCCCATCTGGTGTTTCTGGGCTTCCTCACGGGTCATTTCAGAGTCCAAATCCCATTAGATTGTCCAACAGAGATGGGCACTGAAAGCTTCATGGTTTAGGATCACAAGGCCCCACTCAACTGAGGTTTCCTAGGTTGCACCCAGTGTGATTTTTCTATCTGCTAATGCAGGACATTCTGTTTATATTAGGTTGGATAGGAGCCCAGTGAAAACTCAAGTGGAAATGGAACACGGTCAAACCTTGACAACTCAGCTGAAAACCAGCTCTCCTGAGCCCTACGTACCGAGTAAGGCTCACACCTGTCCACTCATGCCAAATGGGATACATGGTGGCCTATTGCTAATTCCTGATGGCTCTGGGTCCACTGCTAAATGCAGAGGAAGGTCATTTTATTTTTACCAGAGCCTCCTTCTACCCTTCCAAGGCATGTGCAAAGTGGCCTCTCCCCAAGCCTGGGGCAAGTGACTGGACTGAGACAACAGACCCTTGGCAGGCAGGTGAGCACCGCGTTCCTCAGCCCAGCTGTGCCAGACCTTTCCAGCTGACTACCAGGACCACACCTGGTATAGGAGATGGCAAATGATTCACTTCCATTTGGCCAGGGTCCTTCATTTGTGAAACAGTAGGAATACTTCCCAAGCTTGAGTAGGTAAGACAGCTTCCATGAAGTGGGAAAAACCAAAAGAAAAGCACATCCATAACAAAAAACAATGTATAGCCAGCTGCTCTCAGGATCCACTTCCCTCCACAGCCATCTGTACAAGTTAGCAAAAGCTGGAATCCCTGCCAGTACCTTCCAGCAAGTGCTTCAAAAGTAAGTTAACACAGATGAAAGGATTGTACCATATGTCAATGAGTTATTTATCTTTCATATATAAAGCTTTTACAAATTCAAAACATAAATATCCCAAGAGAAAATTACACAATGGACATGAAGAGATAATTCACAAAAGAAATACATGCCTAAAATCCTAATAAAATGACAGTAAAGAAATAAAAGCAGGTATAAACACCAAAGGACAAGAGAAAGGACACAGGAAAGGAGCCTACAAGAAATAAAATGTGACAGCAGACTCTGCAGATGGAATGCTATGCTACGGTGCATGTGTAACTGACTGAGGTATTCTCCACTCAGCTGAGCGTCTCAGGACAAGAGGTTCACAAAAGGATGTCAAGGCCCACGTGAAACCTCAGAGCACTCCGAAGAGAAACTATATCTCTACAGATAGGGATGTAGGAGAAAGGCTTGCAGAAAATGGACTGACCGCCTAATTAGAGCCGCTAGACACCCAGATCCCCTCCTCCAGTGCTACAAAACCAGGGCACCGCCTGACATTCACCCTAGCAGAAGCCAGACTGCATGCAGGCCCTGGAGAGAATGACACCCAGTATAGGTGAGCGCAGGCATGAGCACGTACCACACTGACAACCTGTTCCATACAATGGAGCCTCCAGCCTCTTGCTCTAGGGCTCCCAGAACACTGCTCCGTGACCTACATACCCCCAACCCCACCCTTCAGGAGATCAGTTCCCCTGTGGGGTCCATCATTGAACAAGCCTCATACCCACACAGGTATCAGGTTAGCTTTTTGGGGTTCACTTTTAAATGTGTATGGACTTTTGAGGATGGCCTCTAATTTGAAAAATGGAGGCAATCATTCCTCTTCACTTCAATAGGCTAGATACTATCTAATCTCACCAGCAATATGAATATTAATAGGAACATGTTAAGTGCTTTGAATATCTTCATTGCAAGATATTACACAAATCTGCTAGTTTACATACTAAAATACCTTTAGAAGTCATTTCTGTATTACCCATAATGACAACTTATTTTCATCCTAACTACACAGAGTCAGAATCATATACACTACAACCATGGAGTAGAGTGCTAACTACAGGGCACAGAGTGAGTGAGAAAAGAGGGTGCTTCCTCAGCATGCTGACCGAGCCAGGCATGTTCTGGAGCTTGAATGGCAGCGAGGGCCCATTCACATCCAAGGCTGAACCTGATCTGGGCTCAGCTGTCCACACATGGCACAGCTGCTTTGCTGCACACAAGAGAGAACAGCGGTTCCGAGGGCAGGCTCCAGCCAGCCAGCCACGTGAGTGAGAAGCACAGCTGTACCATTCACCTCCTGGCCTGGTTCAGCAGGGAGAGCCCCTCAATCTCCCTAAGTGTCAGATACTCTATCTGAAAATGGGTACAATACATATAAAGTTGAAGTTATCATTAAATAAGCACTTGATGATGGGATTTTAGCAGGAGATTCATGTTAAAGAAGCTTGTANTGTAGAACAGTGCTTATTTTCTGGTTCTTCTCCATATAACGATCAAAACATTAAAAACATTAATTTTACACTATATACACTGGAAGTAAAGGAAAAAAGATTCAAGAAATACATGATTTTTCTACCAAAAAACTACCCTTCGGCTCTTTATACCACTCCAATCAAACACCCATTTCTCCAATACTAGAAAAGTTTTCAACACCCAGAGATCCAGGAATCCGAAGGAGGAATGTGGCCCCCATCTCATTCTTTGCCTTCCTAGGAACAGAGCTCCTCTGCTGTTTCATTCCCAGCTCCTACACACAGGTGAAACCGGAATTCCAACAACTTTCTCAGTGATGACTTTGACTTCTGAGTCTCAGTTGGAACTCATCTCTCATTGCTGAGTCAAAGCACTTTATGCACACCAAGCTCCCCACTGGGAAGACTAAAGTCAACTGGTATCAAAGCTTTTTAAGAGCAAGAACCCAAAACAGGCCATGGCACAGAGCAGGTACTAAAATGTCTAAGGATTGAGTATGTGAATGAATGAATATGACTTTTTAAAAATAATTTTTAGACTTCACCAAAGATTAAACAACAATTACCTCTTTACATATGCTTTGGTAATATTGCTAATACTTTTTAAAAATAATCTGTATATGTAATACATTCATGGTAAAACATTTTGGAAAAAGTATACAGGTAATTATAAAGAAAATAAAAAACACCTTTAGTCCTACCATCAGTGTAAACATTCCAGATTTTTTCCCAAAAACCAATAACATAATTTGAAGCTACTCATAAGATAGTGACTATGACCTTATGACACATTTTTTAGATTATTTAAGAGCATTATCGAATACTGGATAACCAAACATTGCCATACAATATAACACTTACTACTGTACAGATTCTCTTATTCAAGATTTTAGAATTCTATATATCTATATGTATTTATACACATATATATCCATCTACATAGAGTTTTTAAAGAAGTGGGAAGAGTGCTCAAAACTACCAGATTTTTTTCGGTCATTATAAATTACTCATTTATTGATGCATTGTATGACCTAACATTATGGGTGAAGCACTATATTCTGAGAATATATGTATTAGCTATCAACTGCTGCTTAACAAGTTACCCGAGAACTTACCTGCTTAAAATAAAAACATTTACTGTCTCACAGTTGAGGGGCAGGAATTCAAAAGCAGTTTATCTGGGCAGTGCTGGCTCAGGGTTCTCCTAAGTCAAGGTGTCAGCGAAGGTTGAAGGATCCACTTTGTTCCTTCTGTTTTCCTTTGTTTTTATATTCCACAACAAGTGAAATCACGTATTTGTCTTTCTCTGCCTGGCTTATTTCACTGAGCAGAATACCCTCTAGATCCATCCACGCTGTTGCAAATGGGAGGATTTTTCTTTTTATGGCTTAATAATATTCCATTGTGTATATGTACCACATCTTCTTTATCTATTCATCTACTGATGGTACACTTAGGTTGCTTCCATTATCTTGGCTATTGTAAATAGTGCTGCGATAAACATAGGGGTGCACGTATCTTTTCAAATCAGGGATTTTGTTTGTTTCAGACTTACAAGTTTACTGTGATCTGAAGTTTAAGTTTTTGTGTGCACGTGTACACCAAGCCCCAAACATTGTTGTGTTTGTGTGAGCCACCACAGTTCATAAAAGGGATGGCAATGCCTCAGTCCCACATCACGAGTGCGGCTTCTCCACACAGAAGAGGCTTGTTCACGCCCACGTGGTAGAGTGCACAAGGGGCTGAAACCTGTGTGATCTTGTGACAAGGCAGCCTATGCAGTTATGGGGGAAAAAATCCCTATAGCCAAAACCACAAAGCCAATTTCTGCTCAACAAGACTGCTATTATTCATCCTCTGAAAGACCAAAGAGTAAGAAAATGTACTAAGCCACACCTTGAGAAGTCATGACAGAATGGCATGCCACAGCTTGACGGAAGCATTACAAAAGAGATCCTGAATCATGCATGAAATTTTAAATTACCCCACCTCAGGGCTGAGTAC